CTGGAATTTCGTTCGATTCGTCTGTCACTGGACTTGTCACTTGTCACTTACAAGGTCGATCAGTGTCTGATGTCTGAATTGGGAGCTTTGTTTTGTACTGTATGTCTCCCTTTCTGGTGTTGCAGAGGGATAATGTATTGCTTTGTCCTAGGCCATCCTTTCTTCCTAAGGTTGTGTCAGCTTTTCAATTGAATGAAGTGGTTGTTTCTACCTTCGAGTTGAGCCGGTCGTGTTTTGAGAGCTCTTGCGAGGAAACTTACTGGCTTTGTTACCGTGCTCGTAGAACCTTGTACTGTGTAAATATGAAGGTGGTTCTAGTATGTTCATGAAGTAAGTGAAGAAGCTCTTTACAGGCTTGCATTAGTTCTACTAAATGATTCGCTGCCCGGGAGGATTTATGGGCATTTTCAAGAGCTGCTATACGAGAGGAAAGGGCTGAGCAACGTTCTTTCCTGGCTGCATGAAGTTGGGCTTGAAGTTGTATAAATTCTCCTCTGATTACACTTTTGTGAGCCTCCCAAGCCATAAGTGGGGTAGAGTATAAATCAGCATTAAGGGACATTTCCACGCTTTTGTAAGTGATTTGTGCTTTTTGTGGTAATGTAGAGGTGCGGGGGAATGTACAGTATATGTGTGTGCGTTGTCAGGAGTCAAAGGGCTAAAGCTTTCATACTTTATTTAATAGACTCTTTCACGGGACAGAGTCCTTGAAATTCAAAATTCCCTCCACAGGATCTTCAATCCATCTCTCTGAAGCTGCCCATACAGCTGACGATTATCGCACGATAATCGCGGGTGATCCTGTGATCGTATGATAATCGGCAGGTGTATGGGCAGCGTGCGACCGCTTTTACAGTACGGTCGCACGACTTTTGTCTTACGAACACGCCGAAAATCGTACGATTGGTAGCGCGAAAGCCGTACGGGCCGAGGTGCGCTAGCGCACACTGCCCGCTCACCATTGCAATCGTCTGTAAGCCCTCCCCTCAGCGGTGGAGGACTTGATGATCACAAGTACTATCTGCCTGTCCAAGATGGGCAGGTTGTACGAACTTTTAATCGCCTTACAACCATCGCACAACGGAAGTCGTGCGATGGTTGTAAGGTGTATGGCCACCTTGAGGGTTGTTATCTGTAAACTGCAATCAGCTGATTCCTCTCTGCTTTGCTGACCCCCATCCCCCTGCCCTCATGAACTAGCAGACACTCAGCACTGAGGAGAGAGCAGAGAGGAGTCATCACATCTCCTCATAGCTCTGTGTGTGTGTGTTATGAAGAATCCCCTGCACTTGTGTCTGTAGACCTTCTCTTTGTGTCCTGTGTCTCTCTCAGATCTCTCTCTCTCTCCTGGGTCAGATTTACGCTCTCTGCTGCCCCAAGTCCCGGTTCCTCAATGTGCCCCCCCCCCCCCCCCCACCATTCTTGTAATTTACCGATGACTGTTAGAACAGATAAATAAAAAATGGACTGGGGGGAATTTATCAAAACTGCAGCAGACAGAATCTTGAGCAGTTGCTCATGGCAACCAATCAGCTTCTCTCTTCCGTTTGCTCAGGTAAGATTTGAAAATGAGAGAGAGATGCTGATTGACTGCAGTGCAAATCTGCTCCAGATTTTGTCTGGTCCAATGTCACCAGGGCTGTGCGCAGTGTATCAGTGCATCCCTAATTGAAGATTTTTGTCTGGGGCGCTGATGCAGATTGCAGTTTCCATCTTATATTTGGATTGCTTTTGTATATGTAACATTCACCGGTTTTTGTGGCACATTTGATTGTGTTTTAATGAGTACACTGGAATGACTCGAAATGATTAGTTGAACACCAGAATTATTTAGTTGAACATCGTGGGTTGTATATCAGTCCCACAGCGCGGTGCAAATCACATTATATACATATTGTCTGGGGACAGTGCAGAGTGACCAGGAGATTTATATTTTTACCTGTGACTACAGTTGGAGGAAGAAATCCGTTATATGTTGTTCTGAGCGTTTACTGGAGACAAAAATATAACGGATATCTTTAGCAATCACAACAATCCTCCAACTGTAGTCACAGGTAAAAAAAAATCTCCTGGTCACTCTGCACTGCCCAGGGTGTGGTACCACTATGAATATTAATGATGCTTGTGCACAACAGAAGCAAAGCATTGTGGGAAAATTAGTATTTCCACACCCTACATTGTACACAGAAGTCTGGCAGCCATTTAAAAAAAAATGAAGCCTGACAGGACAACTAAAACAAAAGTGAGTTCTTGTGTTTTTATCCAGGATCTGCATATGCCAGCATCATGTACACCAGCAACACCATGTACATTGCTGGCATGTTTTTTTTTAAATGCCCCCGCAAATGTCCTTTTTAAGCTCAATGTAACCTGGTAACTTACATTTCAAATTTGAGACAGATGTTTCAGTGTTGAGAATAGAGGGGTTAAGAGAATAGAGGGGTTAAGTCTTTAGAGTTGAGGGGGAGAGTGTAAGGAGGGAAAGGTAATGGTCATTGTAATCAGGGCATGGTTTGAGTGTGTCGTAGGTTCAATCGTTGCCTTAGGTTCAGTAGATGTCTCTGGGTCAGGAAAAAACTAGTCAAGTTTGAAATAACCAGAGTGTGGGTGGGAGTAGAATCTGAAGTCCATGACTGTGGGATGAAAAACGCGCAAGATTTCATGCAGATTAAGGGAGATTACGAAAAGGAAGGGAAGATTTACCGGACGATTCAATGGTACATTAAAGTCTCCTACGAGAATCATCATTCCCTCTACAAAGTCCCTGAGTTTGGAGCACATTTTGCAAAAGAAGGGAATTCGTTTAACATTAGGGCAATAGACGTTGGGGTGTTGTGAAATTTGCCCCAGCATGCAACATGGGTTGAAAAACTGTCGGGAACAAATAGATCTCAGTAGTATTTAAGCAAAATAACATTACAGCATTAGAATAAGGCAAGGGGGTGGACGGAGATGGGGGTGAAGGAACAGGTAGTGAGGAGAAATAGAAATTCTGTCATCACAGCATCTCCCAGAGATTAACAGCCAGGAAGCAATGGTGGTAAGGGAAGTCTAGAGAGTTAAATGCTATAGAACTGCGGTAGCGCAAGTCTCTGCCAAGGCTGTGAAATATAGGGAAAGCCGGGGTGAGGCAAAAATGAGAACATGCTTAACCAACGCAACCATAAAAGTATAGAGATAATAAACGCAGTATATTACGCATATACTTTATATATTATGTAAATGTGCGAAAAAGCATATAACATAACATGGTCTATCACAATGAAACATCTGGAATGCCAGATCTCGAGTGTACACATGTAAAACTACAATCCACAGTACAATGACTGAAGTAATTTCAGCTTCCAGGGTCCTGATGAGGAAATGTGTCTAGCATGAAACCCAGCAGAGCCATTGGGATTGTAGGGAGATACAGGGACAGTGGCAAAATAAGGTGAATGGATGAGAGGAAACATGATGCTGGAGAAATCAGCAGAAGGTTGAAAATGGGGAAGCTATGGCTAAGGGATGTCCAGAGCCAGAAAACGGTTAGATCCAGTGGTTTCCAGAGAGTTCAACAAAAAAAAAGGCCTTGTAGGGAAAGAAAAGTAACAAGCACTTATCTGCAACCAAAAAGCACTAAGTGATCACCTGGCATCGCTGTGGAGTCAGCATCCAAGTGACAAACGTGCCGGGTCTCAAGCAGCAAAGGAGGCATTGGGCATCAGGAGCTCTTCCTTGCGGCATCTTGATGATCTGGGGCACTGAGCGCCAGTGGAGGTTGTCGGTTAATCGATGATCTTTGGTGTTCCAGAAAGCTCCATACCAGTCTGGGAGCTTGAGGGATGGTATGCAAAGTTGAGAACAGAAGCAAGGCAAGTCCAGAGGCAAAGTTAGAAGAAACATAAGGCAGCAAGGCCAAAGGGGGAATCGCCACCTGTTAAAGATGGATGCCTCAGGATCAGAGAACTTGTAGAAGCAATCGCAGTCCTCTCTGATTTTGGAGGGTGATGTGGGAGACATCCTGGTAAAGCTGGTTCTCGCGATTGTGGAAAATGAGAGGACCATCTCTAGCTCTACATAGAATCTTCTCTTTGAGGTGGGAATCAACAAGACAGCAGGTGATATCCCTGGATGGGTCTGTGTACCTGCCTCTGGGTCACAGTGCTTGATGAAAGCACTCCAGTGCTATCGGAGTCCAGTGATCAGTCGAATAGATCATAAAAAATGTGCAGCACAGCGAGCTCTAGCTGTTCAGTTTTGACTGTCTCCGGGACCCCGGGGATGCGAACCTTGGGGAGGCAACCTCTGTTTGTAGATGTCCTCCAAGTGGCGGTGTATCTCAATAAGGTGGGTGTTGTAGGTCTCTGAAGTCTCCTGGATGCGTATTGATGCAGCATGAAGGGAAGCCACTTCCTCAACTTCCTAAATGCGGGCCTCCAACAACTGGACATCAGAGTTTAGTTCAGAGATGGCTGCCCATAACGTGGTTTGATGTCAAGGGGCGACGGAATTTTCAGGGCTTTTACTTTTTTAGTGAGTCGTCAGTAGAGGCAGATGGTGCCGGAGCTCCCATGTGGCATTCTGTAGGTTGCGAGCGGAAAAGTTTGGGGAGATTGCGGTTCTGTTGAGTGCCGGAGTCAAGATGATTGATGGCAGGGGTATTCTGCCTGACTTTCCCCATGGTTTGAAGCAAATTAACTAGAAGCTGAAAAAAAGGGGGTCCATGAGTTGTGTTGAACTTTCTATTGGAGTAAATGAAGGTTGGGGGAGCAGGGCCCAAATGGGAGGATTTTGAAAAATAAATCTTGGTCTAGCGGGATTATGTTAATGCTGAAGGAGGGACTGGGGCCCACAAAGTGTTAATGCACTTACCTTACAAATTACCCTTCAAGCAATTAAACATGTCATATACACTTATTTATATAACCATTCCTTTATTTTGATTATCTTCGCAAGTTACTGTAAATTCCATTCCTTGTATGTTCTGTGCAAATAGTGATGATTTTTACTATTTACAGGGAGAAGCTTCTGGAATTCCTCTGGTCTCTGAAGCAACCTGAAGGATCGTTTAACATGCATGTGGGTGGAGAAGTGGATGTGAGGTCAGATATTATTTCATTTTGTTTTTATGTGGTATTTTAATAAACTAAAAAATATTTATTCAAGTTTGGATAAAGTAGTCTTATTAAAATTAAATATGCATCCCCCTGTGTTATGAGCTGTCAGCTGTGAGTAGACACTGGTGGTCCTAATCACTGATAAGCTTATGTATGTTGGGGACTACAGCTCAATACCAGCATTGATTTTGAGTAGCCCTGCTGCATTCTCCAGAATGTAAAATTATTTAATGTTGAAATTCCTCCTTTTATCCCATCTAACAATAACTGTGCACAAAGGTTGTTGAAGGCTCTCTATTGCTTCCTCTTGAAAGTCACTACTTTCTAGCCATCTGTAGATAGCACCTGGGAAAACTCAAACTGGACATCAGTAATTTGAAGGAAAGTCTTACTCGGTCTATGTGGATACAGGGACATCACCACCTCTTTCTCGATTATATGGAACTATTTTTTTCTCTAGTCATCTTCCAGTACAGCATCAGAGAGATTGGCTCCTTCCACCGGAACAGGAAACACCTCACCCACACCTAATAAAAAAAAGAGCACATGACTTGCATACCTCAGTTTTTTTGTGTTTCCTTTGGCCAAGCAGGACATCGTAATGTTTATTATTTTCTGCTAAGGCCTTCGTGCTAGTTGCAGTGGCCTCCTGGTCATGGGTTCTGTTTGCCAGGGACAGTGGACCTGAGGAATCCATGATACAGGTTCCCAGGGCAGGCTCGATCTGCCCTTTCAAATGCTTAAATGGTTTTCAGCCTGAGGTCTTCTGTTGGGGGCAACTATCCCCCTGATACAATAAGTCTCAGTGAGGCTTCCCGGAAAAATGTTGTTTCCTTAAAGACTGGAGGACAACAGTGTGTCTGTCTTACCTGATCTGGCCTCAAGGTAATGACTTCCAGCAGAGCGGTACCCCATTTTTTTTCGATTGAATGAGTGCGGGTGCCGTGTCTGGGCACCATCAGATCTCGTGGAGATGTGTACCGGTGTGGAGCCGGAAACAGTATGGCGGCCAGGGGGATGTGATGTGGCTGGAAGTGCGTCTCGATGGTGATGTACTTCCGGTCTGGCGATCCTGCGGCTAGACTGCGAGGACACTAAGCTGCTCAGGCCACGCTATTGTGGAAGGGGAGACAAGTTTGCTGGACCAGTGCGTACAAATGGGGGAAGCAGCAGGACGCAGTACCCTTGTGGTCCCCACACAGACCTGGTGGATCAATCTGCTAGCAGCTCTAAGGTAGGCGAATGATATTCGTTCCTATCTTTGTTCTCCCTCTATGTATGGGGCATTTTACATGAGGGGTTGGTCGGCACATTTATTGTATGGTTTTTCGGGTTATCTATGTGCTCAACAGAGGCTCTGGTTTTGTGTTTTGCAGACCAGGGCCTCTGAAGGAAGAATGGTCAGCACACGTATCTAAACCCAGAGATGTGCAGCATGCAACATTAACCAGTTGACATCCGCGGTGTTAAACCCCCTTCCCATCCAGGCCATTTTTCAGTATTCAGCGCTGCGGTACTTTGACTGACATTTATTCCGTCATGCAGCGCTGTACTGAAATGAATTTTATACCCTTTTTTGGGGACAGATAGAGCTTTCTTTTGGTGGTATTTATTCACCACTGGGGGTTTTATTTTTTTACTAATTTAAGGAAAAATTACCGAAATTTAAAAAAAAAAACAGTTTCCCCTATATTAAATGATAAAACATTTATTATTACCCAATTTTTTGGTAAAATATAAAAGATGGGGTCACGTCGGGTAAAAAGACACTAAACATGTCAAGCCTTAAAATTGCGTGCGCGCGCGAAACCTCAAAAAACGATAATACCCAAAATTGGCCATAGGCGACGCTTTAAAAGCTGTTACCGCTCATCAGTTTAGTGTTATCAGTGATTGATGGCCCTAAAATGATTGCTCTCACTGCGACGTTCGCGGCGATATGTAACATGTGTAGCGCAATTGTAATTTTTGCGCGCTGGGGCACCGGACGCGTATTTACGTTTATAGGCGCGTAAACGTGGGGGTGGGGGAGTTAAACATTTTGGGGGGGGTTTTTCCCCTTTTTTTATATGTGGCTTTTATTTTATTTTATTTTTTTATGTGTTACTTTTCTTTTTTTTTATTTATATTTTATTTTTTGCACTTATTGTTATTGCTATTATATAGGGGGATAACAATCCCCCTATATAATAGCAAAGGCACACTGACAGGTCCTCTTTATGGAGACATTAGGGGTCTCTAGGACCCCTAATGTCACCTGTGGACCCCAAAAGAAGCTGATGAAGCAGAGATCTGCTTCATCATCGGACGTGAACGAGCACATATAGGCGATCGGCGGGCTATGGACCCGCTGATCGCCTATATGTGAAACACCCGGTAACGGGTGTGTGCAATGGTCGGGTCTTTTCTGCAACCCGCAGATGTAGCAGTGCATGGGGCATACCCTATGTAGCGGACGGCAAGAGGTTAAATATCCCTCTTCCAAAAAAACACTGTGCCAACCCTATGTAGGGAAGCTAGTGGCGGATGAATCATCAAGCATGTTTAAAGGTCTGATGGACTGTATGAGGGAAAAGATGGTGTCGTCTTTTCAATCATTCTGCACAGTAATTCAGAACATAGGAATTATTGGAAGACAATCGGTTGGTCAGAGACCTTCCGTTTCAGGGGTTAAGTCAACTTCCAGTCCAGGGGTTAAGTCAACCAAGCACCAAGTAGAGACATAAAAACCAAAAAAGACTTATAAATGAGGATGCACGGATAGTGGAGAAGGACATAAGGGAAGGGGAGGACAAGGTAAGGTTGGGGGAGAAAGGACACCTCAGGAAAATTTCATACCAGTGTCATGCTCATCAGTCATCAATCGTTCCAAGTCCGCAATGCAGTCCATCTCCAGAGTCCATACCGCCAGAGTAGGGATATCTGGCATACACCAGTGACGGGGGATGACCGCCCTTGCAGCTGTCAAAAAGTGCCGGAAGAGCTCCCGTTTTAGAGATTGCAGAGAGCCTGGTATCATAGTTAACAGGGTAATCCTGGGGTCAAAATGTCACTCTGTGATACACATCCAACACCTTTTGTCAGAACTCTTTGAATGGTGGGGCAGCTCCTCCAGATATGAGTCATGTGGCCTGGGGAGGCTTGGCAACGCCAACAGGAGTCTGGCACCTGCGGATAGTAGCGGTGTAGCACTGCAGGGCATCTATACCATCTGGTTAGAATTTGTCAGGTTCTTATGAGCCTTACTAGCAATGGAGAGGGAGTGTGAGAGACTAAAGGATCTCTCCCAGTCTTCCTCACTGATGGGGAGATTCAACTCGCTCTCCCACTTCGGGACATATCCCCGGGGAGGCAGAAGCAGAGAGGAGGGAGTAGAGTATCGAGATGGTGTGGGAAGGGGGAGAGGCCTGCAGGAGGAGGGAGTCAAAGTCCGTAGGTTCCGCTTCGAAAGCCTCTGGTTGAGGGAAGGATGCCACAAAGGAGTGGAATTGCCTGTCCTCCAACCACATAGCTCCGACCGTTGAATCTGATGTGCTCTCCCTCATGGCCACCACCAGACGTCTATGCGAGTCCCTATTCCACCGCCCAAAAGAGGATCTATGTAGAGCCGGGGGAAAGGCGGGGTTGTTGATGAGGTGTGTCATGGGCCTGACATAGGAGGAGATTCCGCAGCGGGAAACCCATCGATCCCATAATCGCAGCGCATGAAGAGTCAAGGTAGGGAGGGGCGAGGGCAGGGTGCGAGAAGCTGGGGGGATCCAGAGGAGTGCCGTAAGGTCTGAGCCTGCGATCACCCCCTCAATCAGGACCCACTGTTTATCAGTAACCCTATGGAACCAATCCGAAATGCGGAGCAAGAGCGATGCCGCATGATATATGCGTATGTACGGGGCTCCTGCACGCCCTTTACGTTTGGGGAGAGAAGGTTTTGTAGTTCACTCGGGGACATGACGAACCCCAGATGAAGTTCGAGAAGAGTTTTTTGAAAAAAGATGAAGGGGGGACAATCTGCAGTACCTGGAAAAGGTATCGAAATCTGGGGATAACATCCATTTTTAATGCGTTCATCCTACCCAACCATGAGATGTTCTTCCAATCGTACCCCGTCAGGTCTTGGGAGGTCTTCTGGAAAATAGGGTCGTAGTTTAAGGTGAACAGCTTGGAAAGATCCCCGGAAAGGTGGACCCCGAGATATTTTACCGAGGTGGGGCATACACGAAACTGGAAGTTCGTTTGAAGCGCGCGTAGGTCCCTGGCCGTCAGCGACACGTTCAGTATTTCCAGAAGGAGAGGTTAACTTTAAAATGACTAAACACGCCAAAGCAGGCAAACTTCTGTAGGATAGAGGACATCGATGTATGGGGACTAGTGACGTATAGGAGCAGATCGTCTGCAAAGAGTGCCATCTTAGAGCGGACGGGCCCCAATTGCAGACCAGGAATCGTCCCGTTTTGGCATACGGCTACAGCCAAATGCTCCATGGTGAGCACGTAAAGGAGAGGGGAGAGCGAACATCCCGGTCTGGTGCCGTTGGAGATCTGGAATCTCGGGGATAAAGAGCCATTGACCCGGACACGTGCCGACGGGCGAGAGTACAGGGCCATGATGTTACGGAGCATAAGAGGTCGAACCCCAATCTGTAACAGAGAATGCTTGAGAAAGCGCCAACTCAGGCGATCAAAAGCCTTATCGGCATCAACCGACAGGAGGCACATAAGTGTCTTGGACATTTGAGCATGTGGCATAAGGAGGACAGTTTTGATGGTATTGTCCCTAGCCTCCCGCCCCCCAACAAACCCTACCTGGTCTGAATCAATCAAACTGCGGAGGAGAGGCTGAAGCCTGTTGGCAATCAGTTTAGAGAATAAGTTAAGGTCCACATTTAGGAGGGAGATGGGACGATAGTTTGTACAAAGGGTATGGTCTTTCTCAGGTTTGGGAATGAGGGAGATGTGAGCTTCCAGGGTTTGGGCAGGAAATTCCGATCCTTGGGCTATAGAATTAAAGACTCTCAGGAGGAATGGGGACAGGGCGTCCTTGTATTGTTTATAGAATTTGTCCGGGCCCGGACTCCTACCCGCCGGCACCAATCCCAGAACTAGACTCGATTCGTCCGAGGTGAAAGGGATTCCAAACTCTCCGCAACCAGATCTTCCAAAACAGGCAGAGCAGTTTCCTGAATATAGGACGACAACCGGGCCTCCTGAGATGGGGAGGCCCAGTCTGCCCCCTCTATATTATAAAGTGCTTCATAGAACTCCGTAAAAAAAGCCAGTTGAATCTCTGACGGGGAGTAGACCAGTGTATCCGATGAGGTCTTAATATGGGACATAAAGGCGTGCGTGGATCTAGGATGTAGGGTCCGGGCCAGGGCCCTGCCGCACTTATCCCCGAACTCATAGGCCCGATAAGCCAATTTGTCCTGATATCTGCGGGTACAGAGATCCAAAAACCCCAGTAGCTTCTGTCTAGTCTGGGAAATCTGTAGAAGAACCTCTTGGTCAGGTGACCCTTTATGGCGTGTTTCAAGGTCCCTAAGGGATTAGAAGGTTTCCTGAATACATTGAGATCTTTCCCGTTTGCGGGGTTGAGTAATGAGTGTAGTCCCTAGTCAGTGGGTGGAGAACCCGCCAAACGTCTACCAGATCAAGGTCCGAAAGGCACCTCTTGAGTAGGTTTAGTTTAGCATATGATAGAGCCGAGCGACCCACAGAGGAGTCCAGCACAGGTTCCA